AAGAACTGGGATTACAGGCATATACCACTATACCTGGCTAATTTTGTATTTTCAGTAGAGACGGGGTTTCTCCATGTTGATCAGGCTGGTCTCACACTCCTGACTTCAGGTGATCTGCCTGCCTCAGCACTTCCAAAGTGCTGAGATTACTGGTGTGAGCCACTGGTCCTGGCTGAATTTTTTAAAAAATAGAGACAAGGGTCTCTAGTTTTTGCCTAGGCTGGTCTCAAACTCCAGGGCTCACCCCTAGCTCTATTTGAATTTTGAACCATGTAAATCTACCATTTTTTTCAGAGAAAAATAAAATCTGGCTGAGCATAGTAGCTCACATCTGTGATCCCAGCACTTTGGGAGGCTGGGGTGGGTGGATTGCTTGAGCCCAGGAGTTCAAGACCAGCCTGCCCAACATGGAGAAACCCCATCGCTACCAAAAGAAAAAAAAAAAAATGCAAAAGTTAGCTGAATGTGGTGACACCTGCCTGTAGTTCTAGCTCTTTGAAAGGTTGAGGTGGGAGGAGTACTTGAACCTGTGAGGTGGAAGCTGCAGTGAGCTGTGATGATGCCACTGGACTCCAGCCTGGACAACAGTGAAACCCAGCCCCCGCCCCCACCAAAAAAAAAAGCCTATACTTAGGGCCAGGCATGATGGCTCACAGCTGTAATTGTAGCACTTTGTGAGGCCGAGGCGGCCGGATCACCGGAGGTCGGGAATTCGAGACCAGCCTGGCCAACATGGCAAAACCCCACCTCTACTAAAAATACAAAAATTAGCCAGGTGTGGTAGCACACCTGGAATCCCAGCTACTTGGGAGGCCAAGGGAGGAGAATCGCTTGAACCCGGGAGACAGGTTGCAGTGAGCCGAGATTGCAACACTGCCCTCCAATCTGGATGACCAAGTGAGACTACATCTTTTTAAAAAAAAAAAAAAAAAAGCCAGGTGCGGTGGCTCACACCTATAATCCCAGCACTTTGGGAGGCCAAGGCAGGTGGATCACCTGAGGTCATGAGTTTGAAACCAGTCCAGCCAATATGGTGAAACCTATCTCTACTAAAAATACAAAAACTAGCTGGGCATGGTGGTGGGGCCCGTAATCCCAGCTATTTGGAGGCTGAGGCAGGAAAATTGATTGAACCCAGGAGGGGGAGGTTACAGTGAGCTGAGACAGCACCATTGAACTCCAGCCTAGGTAACAAGAGGAAAACTCCGTCTCCAAAAAAAAAAAAAAGAAAGGAATCATTATTGCTTTTTTTGTTTTTTTTTGAGACAGTCTCACACTGTCGCCCAAGCTGTAGTGCAGTGGCACGATCTTGGCTGACTGCAATATCCGCCTCCTTGGTTCAAGCAATTCTCCTGCCTCAGCCTCCTGAGTAGCTGGGAATACAGGCGTGCGCCACCATGCCCAGCTAATGTTTTTGTATTTTTAGTAGAGATGGGGTTTCACCATGTTGGCCAGGGTGGTCTCAATCTCCTGACCTTGTGATCTGCCCGCTTCAGCCTCCCAAAGTGCTGGGATTACAGCCCTGATCCACTGCAGCCAGCCACTGTTTGGTTGTTTTTCACAATATGGTCTTATTCTATATTACTCTTCTGAACCTTTCACTTAATATATCATAACCAGGCTGAGTGCAGTGGCTCATGCCTGTAATCTCAGCACTTTGGGAAGCTGAGGCGGACAGATCACCCGAGGTCAGGAGTTCAACACCAGCCAGGCTAACATGGAGAAGCCCCGTCTCTACTAAAAGTACAAAAAAATTAGCTGGGTGTTGTGGTGGTCACCTGTATTCCCAGCTACTCGGGAGGCTGAGGCAAGAGAATTGCTTAAACCCGGGAGTTGGAGGTTGTAGTGAGCTGAGATCGCGCTAGGGTACTCCAGCCTGGGCGACAGCGTGGGACTCCATCTTAAAAAAATATGTGTGTGTGTGTGTGTGTGTGTATGTATATCTTATAACCATTTCTCCAGTCATTGAATGTTCTATACCATTTGGAATGACATCATAATAGCCCAGTATATGAATAACCCATGGTTTATTATATAAGTCCCCGACTCCTGAACATTTAGGTCTTTCTGATTTTTTGCTATTGAATTCTGGCATGATAGACTCTGCAAGTTAGCCTTCAGATGCCCAGCAAATCCAGCTAACCAGAGCACTGTCCTCCAAGCCTCCTGGTGAATGTGGTTTTGCCGATGGTGCGCAGGGTCCACCCCAGCCTCGCCGCTGGATTTGGCAGGCACTTGGCCTTAGCAACCTGAGGGTGGTAACTCCAGTTACTTGTTTCCCTGTTACCCGAGTTGTGGATTCAGAACCCTCTGCAGTGAGCAGGTGAGCACCTGGCATGACTCTTTTCTGGTCGGTGGTCCTGGGGATCATTGGGCCAGTCACCACGTGGTGACAGGACAGGGTGACCAGTGCGCGGCAGCACTGGGGATTCAAATGACCACAGGCCTATCGGGCTGAGCTGAGTGGAGTCAGCACAGCAGGGAACCTAGGCTCTTCACAAAGGGGGACTGGAAGCCCCCGACAAGGACGACAGGGGTAAGTATGTGCCTCCCTGCAGCAGGGTCCTGTGAGCTTTGGGAATGAGAGGGTCAAGGGGAGAGGAGCTGTGTTTGCCACCCCACCACCCCTTAAAACCTCAAGTGAGGCAGCATGGTGTAGAGGAAAGAGCATGGGATTGGAAGCCACTCAAGTTCACACTGTGTCCTTGGGCAAGTGACTGCATGGCTCTGATCCTCTATCTTCCCTTCCATAAAATGGAGGTGATTGTAGACCTGCTTCATGAAAGTGTTCAGAGGATTACTATGGACAAAGTGGGAACATTACAAGAAGCAGCAGCCGGCAGTGTGGTTCACAGCCAGCACAGGCTGCCGGCAGGGTGCAGGTACTGTCACCAAGGGAGACTCAAGGTCCCCTGGAGAGAGGGGCAAGGACAGAGGCCCTGGTGATAAGAACACTGGAATGGGCTTCACAGGGACAGACAGCATCAGAACTGGACTGGTAAGGCCATGAGCCCACCAGGGCCTGGGTAGGGACACAGCAAGTCTGGGGACTCCAGACAGGGTTACAAAGACCTGGGCCATGCTGGGCACCCAGGGGCCAGCTGTGCTTACTGGCAAATGTCAGCTCTCCTGCAGTTGGGCCAGGGACACCTCAGGGAAACTGTGCCCTTCGAGTCTTGGTAATGTTACCCTTCCACCCCAAAACCTACGGACTGGCCTGAATCAATCTCAGCCCTGGCCCAGGCCACAGCTTTGCTAGCACTGTGCCAGGCTTCAGACTCCAAAGGGCACATTGGCAGTCTCTAGTGCAGTTTTCAGATGTTACAAACAGGTTCCTCTTTGAGATGAAACTTCCACTGCTTCCCTCCTACCACGAAGGAAACACAGAACTAACCATCAGCCGAGCCGTTCTCTCTGGGTACTGTGGAAAACACAAAATCATTACATTAAACATGCTTTTTCAAACTAAACACATCCCTCCCTCAGTCCTGGAGATTCAGAGCTGCCTTTCCCTTTGAAAACGAATTATTTCGGCTAGGCATGGTGGCTCACTCCTGTAATCCCAGCACTTTGGGAGGCCAAGGCAGGCGGATCACGAGGTCAGGTTGAGACCAGCCTCACCAAATGGTGAAATCCGTGTCTACTAAAAATATAAAAATTAGCCAGGTTTGGTGTTGGGCGCCTGTAGTCCCAGCTACTCGGGAGGTGGAGGCAGAACAATTGCTTAAACCCGGGAAGCGGAGGTTGCAGTGAGCTGAGATCAGGCCACTGCACTCCAGCCTGGGCGACAGAGAGGCTCCATCTAAAAAAAAAACAAAAAACAAAACAAAAAAAAAAAAAAAACGATTTCATCCACTACCTTCAAGAACAGAGGGAGGTCGAAGTCCAGTGAGAGGGTGGAACGAACATAATGTTACAGTAGAAAGGACATGAGACAGGGCACTGCCGGGTTGAGTCTCAAAAGCATGGTGCCTTCTCTGGTCCTAGCTCCATCCCATCTCGCGGAAGCACATTTTACAGGCGAACTACCAGGCCAGAGTGCCTTCCCCAGGGCTGCACATCAGTCAGGAAACCAAAGTCAAATTCTCTCCAACGGGTCAAATCACCGAAGCCTCGGGATAGTCGCTGCGGGTGTGTGACGGGGCTGGCAGGGAACGTACCCCTCCGTCTGGCTCAGGATGAGTCAGCGCTCAGGAGTTTCAGGTCTTTAAGGCCCGGCCAGATCGCAGAGGGACTCTGCAGCCGCGTCGGGGTTTCTTTTTTTGAGACAGAGTCTCGCTCTGGAGCCCAGGCTGCAGTGCAGTGGCCTGATCTCAGCTCACTGCAACCTCCACTTTCCAGGTCCCGGTTCAAGCAGTTCTCCTGCCTCAACCTCCCGAGTAGCTGGGATTACAGGCGCACGCCACCATGCCCAGCTAATTTTTCTATTTTTAGTAGAAACGGAGTTTTACCACGTTGGCCAGGCTGGTCTTGAACTCCTGACCTAGTGATCCGCCCACCTCGGCCTCCCAAAGTGCTGGGATTACAGGAGTGAGCCACCACGTCCAGCCAGGCTCGAGGTTTCGATCCTGCGCTGCGGCCTTGCAACTGCGAAGCCTTGAGCCTCGGGCTTCGTTCGTCTCGAATCCTCGTTCGTGTGTGCAGGAGGCGCCTGGCTGGCCGGGAGGTGAGGGGAGGCAGGTGATAGGGCGCACGAGGTGTGTCCTCCCACGGCAGCCCCTGTGAGCGCTGCAGACGCGCGGCCCCCGGCGCCCGCCCCGCCCCCTGCCTCCGCCCAGCCCCCGCCCAACTCCCGCGCGGCGCAGGCTCCGCCCCCGGTTGCTCCCGCCCTATGGCGGAGACGCTCCGCCCCGCCCGCTGGGTCCGGCCCGCTCGGCCTCGGCGGCAGTCGCTGCGGCGAAGGCGCGCGAAGGTAGGAGGCCGGGGACGCGCGCGTGCGCGGGGCGGGACGGACGCGCTCCCGGCAGGGAAGGCCGCGCGCGCGGGGGCGGGCTGGAGCCGCGCACCGGGGCGAGGGGTGCTGGGCACAGCGCCCTGCCCTGGAGGCCAGGAGTGCGTGCCTTACGGTCTCTGGATGCCCCGCCGCGTCCTGCCGCGCATCCTGCCCGGATTGTCGCGGGCCGGGGGCGCGAATGGAGGCCGGGGCCTGCCCGGGCGCAGCGGCCTGCAGGGCGCGACCGTCCCTCCGCCAGCCAGGGTCGCCTCGCTCCGCCGACGGCCGCGGGAGGCCCTCGAGACAGCTGCTGCCCTCCGCAAATACCCCTTCAGCTCCTGCGTGCGGGCTCCGCCCTGCCCTGCCCTCTTCGTGTGGGACGCGGTTTCGTCTTCATTGCAGCTATGCGGAGTCGGAAGCATCTCCATTGTGCAGATGGGGAAACTGAGGCCCAGAGCACGCAGTTGGGCTAGCCACGGAGGCAGGGCCGCCGGAGGCTGTGTGGGAATGGGGCCCCGCACCCCTTGCGCCTGTCACCATGGGGCCTCGGGCCCCTGTGCCCGACAGCCTCTCTGGAGTGGGCATTTTGAACGAACTTCCTCCTCATTTTCACACAAAGCCAAATCTGACGACCGTGCTGGGGCGGATGTCTGCCCCCTGGTGACCAGGTCACAGCTTCCTCGGGAAGACGATTGTCTGGAGAATGGGGACCCTGGGGAGTGGGCCTTGAGGGTGCCATCTGTCTGTTTACGCGAGAAAACAGACATTTCTGTTTTCCTTCGCTGGGCTCACAGCAGGTGCTTAATAAACAGATCTTGTGGCGGGAGCAGAGGCCAGCGGGGTTCAGGCAAGACTCCAGGAGTCGACCCATGGATCTCTGGGGCTCTCCAACTACGCTCATTTACCTGACTTAACCCTCTCCTCCCCAGTCTTTCTCTCAGCCCTTGGAGGGGAGGCCCCCTTTCCATCCAGAAGGTGCCTGTGGGGGTCACTACCTGATTTTCATCTGGAACTTCTGGGATGCAGCAGGTGCTGGTTATCACTGGTGTCCTTCCGTGATCCCAGTCTGTGGCTGACACTGTCCGTGGCCCAGCGTGACCCCAGCCAGAGCCAAGGGAGTCATTTCTTTTTCCGTTTAACATCCTCTGTTATTACTTGGCTCTTAGCTTTCGTTCATTCATTGATTCATTCAGCAGCTCTTCATGGAGGTTTGGCCTTAGGCCATGCACTGTGGAAGTGGCAGTGAACTAAGCCAACCTGGCGCTTTGGGAGCCTGAGGGGGGAGGATCGCTTGAGCTCAGGAGTTTGAGACTAGCCTGGGCAACATAGTGAGACCTCATCTCTACAAAAAGTGAAAAACTAACCAGGCATGGGGGCATGCACTTGTGGTCCCAGCTACTTAGGAAGCTGAGGTGGGAGGATCCCTTGAGCCAGGAGGTCAAGGCTACAGTGAGCCATGATTTTGTCACCACACTCCAGCCTGGACAACAGAGCAAGACCATGTCTCAAAGTTAAAAAAATAAAATAAAATAAAAGCCTACTCAGTCCCTGCCTTAGGAAGAGGGTGACAACATGCATGTTGGAGAAAATGGAACAACCACTGGAGGGACCTTTTAGGCTGGGAGTCGGGGGTAGTTCCCTCAGAAGTTGATTTTTTTTTTTTTTTTTTTTTTTTTTTAGATGGCGTTACACTCTTGTTACCCAGGCTGGAGTGCAATGGCGCCATCTCGGCTCACCGCAACCTCCGCCTCCTGGGTTCAAGCAATTCTCCTGCCTCAGCCTCCTGAGTAGCTGGGATTACAGGCATGCGCCACCATGCCCAGCTAATTTTTTTGTATTTTTAGTAGAGATGGGGTTTCACCATGTTGACCAGGATGGTTTCGATCTCTTGACCTCATGATCCACCCGCCTCGGCCTCCCAAAGTGCTGGGATTACAGGCTTGAGCCATCACACCCGGCCCCAGAAGTTGATATTTTTAAGCCAAGATCTGGCTGACAATTGGGAGTCAGCTGTGCAAAGGAAGGGGGAAGAGTTTCTCAGGCAGAGAAGATGGCAGTGCAAAGGCGCTGAGGTGGGAGACGCCTGTTGTGTTTGAGGAATCAAGAAGGCCATGAACAGTTGGATGTGGTGATTCACGCCTGTAATCCCAGCACTTTGGGAGGCCAAGGTGGGTGGATCACTTGAGGTCAGGAGTTCAAGACCAGCCTGGCCAATGTGGTGAAACCTCATTTCTACTAAAAATACAAAACTTAGCCAGGCGTGGTGGTGCATGCCTGTAATCCCAGCTACTTGAGAGGCTGAAGTAGGAGAATCGCTTGAACCCAGGAAGCAGAGGTTGCAGTGAGCTGAGATCGTGCACCAGTGCACTCCAGCTCCAGCCTGGGGCAACAGAGTGAGACTCTGTCTCAAAAAAAAAAAAAAAAAAAAAAGAAAAGAAAAGTCCATGACTGAGGGTGGAGAGAAACGAGATGAGGTGGGAGAAATGGATGGGTGGGGCCAGATCTGGTGGACTCTCTGGGCCATGGCAGGATTTTGAACTTCATTTTAGGTGTGATAGGAGCCAGTAGAGGGGTTTGGGCAGGGGAGGGGTATGATCTTTACTGTGTGAAAATAGAGTGGGGTGGAGGGATGAGCAGGGAAGCAGTGAGACCCTTGGGGAGCAATCTCAGCAGTCCGGGGAGTGGCTTATATAATGCACACTGGAGTCCTGGGGTGGTGCCAGGCACACAGCAGGCACTGCAGAATGGCAGTCATTGCTGTTACTGGTTTTGTTTATTTGAGACAGGGTCTTGCTCTGTCACTCAGGCTAGAGTGCAGTGACACGACAGCTCATTGCAGCCTCAACCTCCCAGGCTCAAGCAATCCTCTTGCCTCAGCCTCTCAAGGAGCTGGGACTACGGGAGGCACATGGCACCATGCCAGGCCAATTATTTGTGTTTTTTTGATAGAGATGGAGTCTCACTATGTTGCCAGGACTGGTCTTGAGCTCCTGGTCAAGCAATCCTCCTGCAATGACCTCTCAAAGTGTTGGGATCACAGGCAGGAGTCACTGTGCCTGGCTTGCTGTTATTATTTAAAACTCTGGGCTGGGTGCAATGGCTCACACCTGTAATCCCAGCACTTTGGGAGGCTGATGCAGGTGCATCACCTGACGTCAGAAGTTTGAGACTAGCCTGACCAACATGGTAAAACCCTGTCTCTACTAAAAATACAAAAATTAGCTGTGCATGGTGGTGCATGCCTGAAATCCCAGCTACTCGGGAGGCTGAGGCAGGAGAATTGCTTGAACCGGGACCAGGGAGGTGTAGGTTGCAGTGAACCGAGATCTTGCCACTGCACTCCAGCTTGGGTGACAGAGCAAGACACCATCTCAAACAAAAACAAAACAAATAAACAAAAACCTTTGGAATCAGGTACACCTAGGTCTCAGCTGTGACTTGAGGTCTTTGTGGCTGGGTGCATTGGAGAAAGTTATTTAACTTTGCTGAGACTTCATGCTGTCGTCTGTAAAGCACGTAGGGTGGTGCTGGGAATAGTGAAGCAGGTAAGGGACAGGTGTAATGTTTTGGGCACAGGGCCTAGCTCGTGGTTGGTTCAATATTTTTGTCATAATTTCTAGTCAGCAGCAGGAGGATAAAGAAGGGGTAAGCGGATAAGAGCAGCTGCTATGTTTGAAACTCACGAGTAATCTTTGAGGGGCTTTTTGGCTAGTTCCTGCCACTACCCCTGACAAAAGGCAGGTTTGGAGGGTGGCAGTGGGGAGGGAAGTGTACAAAGTGTGTCTCCTCTCTATTTGTCACCAAATAATGTCTCAACACCTAGACTAGGCACAGGGTTCTAGCCTGGGTGCTAGAAAGAGCCAATAATACTCACGATGGTAATGATAACAGTAATAATAGCCAACACTTAGCCGCTGTTTAACTGCAGGTAGTAATTAAGGTAACACTAGCTAATGTGATAGTGAAACCCTGAATCCTCAGCGGCTCAGCACAATAGAAGTTTATTTCTCATTCATGAAAAGCCCTGTTGGGTGTTTGGCCCGTGGCTTTCTATGTGGTGACCCAGGGACCCAGATCCCTTCTGTCTTGTGGTTCCAGCGTCCCCTAGGACGTTGGAGTTATGTCCTTCCAGCTGATGGACCAGGAAGGAGAAAAATAATTGTATGGGCCAGGCCTAAAGTGGCATGCATTATTTTGGTCTTAATTCTATGAACCAGAACTTGACCACCTGGCCGTATCTGACTGCAAGGGAGTCTGGGAAACGGCTTTATTTTTTTTTTTGAGATGGAGTCTCGCTCTATAGCCCAGGATAAAGTGCAATGGCATGATCTCGGCTCACCACAACCTCTGACCCCAGGCTGAGATTCTGCCTCAGCCTCTCAAGCAGCTGGGACTATAGGCATGTGCCACCACGCCCAGTTAATTTTTGTATTTTTATTAGAGATGGGTTTTCACCATGTTGGCCAGGATGGTCTCAAACTCTTGATCTCATGATCCACTCACCTCGGCCTCCCAAAGTACTGGGATTACAGGCGTGAGCCACTGCGCTTGGCCGGGAAATGGCTTTTAGCCATATTCCTAAGAGGAATCGGATGTGCTTTGTGGTGAGCACATTGCAGTTTCTGCCACACCATACCAAGCATATAGCTGAGCATGGAGTATTTTATTTAATGCTCACACTAGAAACAGGCACCATTATTATCCCATTTTGCAGATGAGGAAACTGGGGCTCAGATTGGTGAAGACACTGGTGCAGGGTCACACAGCTGGTGAAGGGCTGGTGAGCCAAGATTAGAGTCCAGGTGGCTAGATGCTAAAGCTGTTAACATCCAGATTTTTAGGAGGAATTCAGTCATGTTTTTGGAGAATTGAGTGGAAGCGGTGGACACATACACAGGGTTCAGATCTGACTTCTTGGGACCCACAGAACCCAGAAAAACTCTAGGGGGAGAATTTTGGCAATGGAGCCAAGGATAGGTGTCATCTGGTGCCAGGGGCTGACATCCTGTCTCCTTTTCCTCAACCCTCAGGGCCGTGGTCAGGAGAAGGCATAGAACAGTTCAGTCCCCCAGGGACATCTGGGGCCCCCTCTGCTGAGCTGGGCATGCGGGGCTGGACATGCTGGCCCAGGGGTATTTGTGGCTTCCCCCTGCTCTGGTGACAGGTGTGCAGCCTGTAGAGGGGGTTTTTGGAGACTGCCTAGAGGCAGAAGAGTGGGCATCCCTGAGGTTTGTAGTGGCAGCTCTCAGCTGCTGGCTGGTTTAGTTAGTTTGTTTTCTGAGACAGAGTCTCACTCTGTCACCCAGGCTGGAGTGCAGTGGTGCAATCACATCTGACTGCAACTTCTGCCTCCTGGTTTCAAGTGCTCTTGTGCCTCAGCCTTCCAAGTAGCTGGGATGATAGGCGTCCACAACACCCAGCTAATTTTTGTACTTTTAATAGAGATGCGGTTTCACCAGGTTGCCTAGGTTGGTCTAGAACTCCTGACCTCAAGTGATCCACCTGCCTCGGCCTTCCAAAGTGTTGGGATTACAGGCGTGAGCCACCGCACCCGGCCAGTGGCTGGTTTAGTTTTGTCCATATCTAGCTTGCTTGCCATTGCAACTTGGCCCTGTGTCTTGGTTCTTCATTTGCAGGGCAGATTCCTTAGTCGGGCATGAGTGGTCCAGCCTGGACTGATGAGCATTTAAATAGCACCTGTGGCATTCTGGGTCTGACCTAGACAGAGTAGTAGAGCCTCAAAGCACAAATGCCCTGGCCTTGCCCTTCAGTCACTTATCGGGAGGCTGCTGGTCTAAGTAGAATGAACTTTGGGCTCACCAGTTCCCTGAAGCATGTCACCTTGAATAGATGAGAGCCCCAATCTCTCAGAGCCTCAGTTTTCTCATCTGGAAATGGGTTGAAGTAAG